AATTGTTTGGGTTGTGTGTTATTTGAACTGAGAGAAGATGGTACATAAGCCACAGAATTTAGTTCAAAACTGTGACTGTGCTACTCAGATTATTAATATTTAAGAAGTTCTGATGTGTAGTACTGAAAGGCTCAGGACAGGGAAAAATTGTGGCAAACAGTAACTGGACGCTTTGATGATATGGGTGTGATGGTATGCATGAGGGTATGCATAAAACGACATGCAAAGGATGTATTGCTGGTCCTCTTTTGTAGGTGAGGAAGCTCTACAGCTTCCTCATGGCCATGTGAGCTACCAGAGGCTTATATTAATAGACAGCAGTAAGCTAGTATGTGCACATTTACTGTGTAGTCTACAAGAAGCAAAGGCAAGTACCACTTGCCTCTTTCTTCAGCACCAACTTGAAATGACTGAAAATGTGGGTTTGCAGTGGTTTTGGCTCACTGTCACACTCAGACACTCAGGGCAGGTGGAGGCAAAAGAACATGTTGGTCATTGTATCCTTCACACCACGTTTAATAAACTTCTCACACAGGCTTCTCTATGTTGACTAAGCCTGAATTATTTTTCTCTGTTTTGTGATGAAACATTTGAAATGTACCAAATGAACTGGGTGGGTGGTAGCTTCGAATGCTACCTACACTCAAACCCTTGAGGCACCAGCTGGCATTGGGCACTTGAAGAACACTGGTTGAACTGGCAACAAAATATGGGAATTTTACAGGTGAGATAATCTATCTGTTACTTTACATTGCCAGTTTCCATATGTTTTTGGATTTTAAATGTTTTTTTACGTTGTTAACGCAGAATAAAACCAAGTATTACTGTGTCCAATTCCTGACTAAAGGAGCAGAGAAAAGGGCAATAGACAGGGGTGTGGGAGAGAGAAAAGGGACAGGAATAGCAGGTTGACAGAGAAAAAGAGAAAGTATAAAATAGGTCCGTGGAACAAGAAAGATAGTTGAAAATTAATGTTCTCTGTGATTTACAAGTTACTAGGCACTTTGCACACATTATCACTGGTTGTGAAGATTATTACTCCCAGGTGCTTCTAGTTGCCCAAGATCCCATAACCAGGTGAAACTGAAGCTTGGTCCTAGATCTTCTGGCTCCCAGTTTAGCGTACTTCCTCGCTTCCCATCAGCTCTGCCTCTGAATTAGTGATGCAGTATTATCACCCATAACCAGGTGAAACTGAAGCTTGGTCCTAGATCTTCTGGCTCCCAGTTAGCGCACTTCCTCACTTCCCATCAGCTCTGCCTCTGAATTGGTGATGCAGTATTATCGTTTCAGTTCTCAAGGCCACTCACAGAGCATTCAAATAAAAATACTTTTTAAAAGTATAGAGCCTATACTATTTATCCATAGTCTATTATTAATGTGATTTAGCCTAGCTTCAAATCCTCCTTTCTTTATTTATAGTGCTGGGAATAGAACCCAGGACCTTGTGCTTGCTAAGCATGTGCTCTGTCATAATTTCCTAAACTTTAATTGCTTTATCTATCTATCCATATAAATATATACATATGAGATAACAATACTTTTTATATATGTCTTTCAATATAACTAAATGACTTAATTCTTGTGAGTAGTGTATTACATTAAAGCCATTTCTATAATAACATAGCAATGATTCATTTATATATATTTAGTGCTGAACCTAGTATATGGTAGTTGTTGAAGCTCAACAAATGTTCAAGTCATAGCAATGTGTTTCCTTCTTTTCCTTTGAAAGCTCATGAAGAGCTGACCATCTCCGATAAACAGCTATTTAGAAGAACATGAAAAGTGTGTGAAGAGTTGACCCCGAGAAATGGTATTTCAGAGGGTTTGAACTTCAACTACCTTAAGAAAATTCAGATTTTTGTTGTTGTTGACTAAGTAGAAGTAGCTGGGCATTGGGGTTAAATTTCATGGACTTTTTCAAAATGTCTGGCTAAACCTATGGGGTGCCTTTAATAGTTTATATAGACAGTGCTATTCTTGTGCAGTTTGATTGTTGTAGAAGTATATAGCTGGAGTTTGTCAGGTACAGAAATCACGATGCCAATAAAATCAATGCCAGATTTTCATGACTCATTGTAAATAAACCAGCCTTCTTTGAGATGTATAAATGAAAACTATTTTATGATTGATGGGTCAGAAATATTCTCTTCACATATAAAATGCTTAAGCTGAGTGTGGTGGCATGTCCCTGTAATCCCCACACTTGGGAGGTTGAGGCAGGAAGGTTGTGAATTAAGGCCAGCTTGGACTACATAATAACACCTCATCTCAAAAACCAAAGCCAAAATCAGAATAATTGTAATAAATTATTTAACAAAATACAATTTTAGCATGCGCTTATTGGTATGAATTACCTTACTTTGCAGATGTCATTTCCAGGACAGCCCTCAGTCACATTGACAAGAATTGCACCATGGGATGCATTGTGTGTTGAAATTGGGAAGAATTCCAGATTTTTTTCGTTTAATCTTATGTCTTGGATACAGCCTTTGAAGAAGCCACCATACACTTCAGTCTTTTGCTTGTCAGGCAGGCCACCAATGTAGATGACATTTCCTCTTTGGATGGTCCACGTAGGAGCAGAAATGAATCCTAGGTTTTGTGAAGACTGATACAGTCCAATTTCATTTGGTTTGATTTTCAAAGATATTAAGTGGACATTTCCATCACCAAGAACAAATGTGAGCACTAACTTGGGAGAGCTCAGAGTCAGCAGTGCTAGTTGGCCATGTTCTAGCCAGACACGGACATATTGATGAGTGCTGTTTTCCAAAGCCAGAAGTAAGCCTGATGGCTGATGTGTTTGAACAAACAGGGAGAGGTTGAGATTCTGTCTGTAATTCTCATCGAGATTAAAGACAGCATATCCAGGGGAGTCATCTTGGCCAAATCTGCCTGCCACATACTCTTCAACGTCAAAACAGAAGAGGAGAAAAAAGAAATGAAAACTTCACACATACAATCAGACAGACTTTCTCAAGTTCAGGGCAGGCCTATTCATGAGAATAATAAGTTGGTTTCATTTTCTGAGCTACTGAGTTTATCATCAAAATAACTACATTTTGACTTTTACTAGAGGTCCATTGATCACAGAAAGAAAATGAAGCTTTCCACACTGAGAAACTAAAGGGCATTCCTACCCCTGCTCTGAAATAGTAGACACTACTGTGCTCCATATTGGTGAAATAAAGTTTTGGGCAAGAGCACTTCATGCACCTCTGTTGACACACTCTCCAGGCAGCATAATTTCTGCTGTGTAGAGTCATGCTGAAGCAGACTTGTTATGAAGCCTAATGGCTTTTTATAAAAGATTAAATAAAAAATCAGATTAACGACCCTCCCCACTTTGGGGAAGACCCGCCACATAGTAAGAGACATGGCAGTTGAACAAAGAAAGAGGAAGGCTCTTTTCTAGTCCTGGTTAGGGAAAGGTGAGACATAGGAACAGAGAAGTCTCAGACAATGTGAAACATTGACTACCTTTAGCATTTCCTATGGTCAAAGGAATTAGAAATGAACTGGTATGGTGACATAATCAATGTGCATCACCTCAGGAAACCTTTGGTTATGTGTGGAGTGAACTTGACCTTGAAAGGCCTTGGTAACTGTGGAAACAAAAACTCCTGCTTTTACAAAGCTCATAGTCTAACTGAGGAAACATACCAGAATAGATAAGGAACACTATTTCATAGCATATCTAGAGTTAAGAAATCATGTGGTGCAAAATATGAAGCAAAAGACAATTGGAGTTTTGGGTGGTATGGAAATGTAATTTTAAGTAGACTTATCTGGAAGAATTCTCTGAGAAAGTGACGTTTAAGCAAAAACTCAAAGAAAGGAACATTAAGGTATAATAATTTGAGAGGAATGATCATGGTTCGAATCAATGGCAGTCTAAGGATGGTGAGAAATGACCATATCTAAAAATACTTTGAAGATAAAAGTAATGCAACTTTGTATTTCTAAAACTTTTGGTTTAAGCAACCAGAGCCTCAAGCTTTTGTTTATAGGGACGGAGAGAGAACCTGGAGAACTGGAGGAAAAGTTTTCGGGAGGAAATGTGAACCCACATTAAAGTTGAGCTGCCTTAGGTGATATCCACATGGGAATGACCACTAGGTAGTTAGTATAAAGGCACAGAGATGTTCTGGAATAACTAGCATTTTAGATTGTTCACTTATATAAGTGATTTAAAGCCATAAGTCCGAATGATATCAGTAAAAGAGTGGATAAATAAGAGAGAAAAGAGGGTCAAGGACTGAGCCCTTACATTTTAGACAATTAGAGGCAAAGCAGCCAGAAGTACAGTCAGTGAGACTGAGGTACCCAGAGAGAGTGAGATCCCATAAACCTAAAGGAAAGAGCTTCTAGGAGGATGAAGTGTTCAGCTGTGTTAACTGGCACTTAGAGGTCAAGTAAGAGAAGGACCGAGACTTGACCACTGAATTTGCAATGTAGAAATCATTGCTGAGCTTGACAAGAGCACTGTCATAAAGATATTGCTGCCTTTGGGTTTTCACATTCGAGTTGTACCAGAAAAAAAGATCATATTCTATCATGTTTAGATATCATCATATGGTCCATTGAAGTTTGTATGAAAGTAAGACATATTTTAGTGTAGCTGAAGTGCAGTGAAACTTGCTTAGACAACCATCTGTGTTTGAAGACCTCTGCCATAAAAGGCAACCCTTTCAGAACTCCGACTTGATTCCTAGAGGAACACTGCATTGTGAATGTGCATTTGGAGACCACCTGCTCCAGGCAATCACAGGTAGCTTTCAAAGGTACTGTGAGATAAAATAATCTCTTTGAAGAGGTTAACATCGCTGAATACACCATGGCACTTTTATATAGGATAAAATGTTTAATAAGAAACTATGGCTCTTGAAGCCCTTGGGTTTTGAGGATAGGCACAAAATCCCTCAAACTCAGGGGGCCGGATTCCTGCTGGTCATCCTAGGATGCCTGCAGCCTCACTTTGTGGATCAGAATAAAAGACAGGATGCAGAGCTGGGTTTCTCTTTTTCCTTAGAAGCTTGACTCTCCAGTAATCCTATTCTTCAGAAATCACAAGCAGGTAGTCAGAGTGTGTGATGTGCTACAGAAACACCAGAGGCCACATAGGAAGGACTTGGCTATGAACGTGGAAGATTTGAGTCTAATACATACTGTTGATATGTCCTAAAGAGAGATAACATGTTCAGATGAAAAAAAATAATTTTGACAAGTTTTGGTGATTGATGAGATATAAGATAAAATTTAATGAGAGTAAATAGAGGACATTTATTATAGTAAATGTGACTCATAAGTTTAAGACTGAAGCAAGAGGACTTCATAACATCACAAATGAAAATGCCTCAAAAACAAGATGAAGAGGAAACCAGCTGCCAAAAAGTTTATGTAGTGCAAAGCCGAACAAACAACAGCACGTTGTACAGAAGGAGGGAAGTCATGGTCCCGTGTTGCTCTGTGTCATCAACCACATTTAAGTGCCACCTTTCAGAAAAAAGACAGATAAGCAAATCTGTGATAAAATGAATGAGCAGCTGCTGAAGCCCTGTCATATGGAAACAAAGGAAACTGGGATGTGGTCCATGATGAAAGTGGCAGTTTGGAGAAGAAAGTTTTCTTCAAATATTAGGCATTCTCAAGAGGAGATGTTAAGATTTACATGAGAATGCCTGCAGTGATTACAGTGGAGTAGCTATGAAAGCGATAGGCAAGTCATAGGTTAGATAAATGCGAGGAGACAAATGTTGAGAAATTGGAGGCAATAGAATGAGTGAGTTCTGTATTCCTGAAGGAAGTTAAACAGAAATTTGGGACACTACACTTGTTAGACATAGCAACATAAGAAATTCAGCTACAGCATAAAATCTGTGCATACCTACAAAATCCTAATTCTAATAGAAGGATAAAATTCTCAAGGTCTAGGTGTACAAACGAAGATAAACATATATAAATTGCTTTTACATCACAAATGTTCTCCAGAAGGAAAGATGTAGGTGACCCATTCATTCGGAGCAACATCCTAAAAGCTCCATGTTCTGACACATGTCACAACACACTGAATTGAAATAACTTTGAAGACAGACTAAGCTAGGAAAACCTCAGGAATTCTGATGGGAGCGTAAATGAATTTCAAGATCAACTTCAACTGATAATATATCAATTTCTATGCTTTTTGTGTTACTTAGCCATCTAAATCCTCTATCCTGCCTGTCTGCTCCTTTTAATGTGTCTGATTATGATTTGGGTGGCTGCCATCTTGCTTTTTAGTGTCTTTCCTCTGTCTGGAAGAGACATGAAGAATGAAAGATGGACTCAGAGTTTTTGTTACTGCTCTTGAGTATTTGTTGTTGTTACAAGAATAAACTCTACAGAACACATTCCTCACAGACCACAGCAATGCAGGATATTTTAACTTTATGACTTGACTCACCTTTTCTTTTAAATTTTTCTCAAGAATTTTTAGAAAGGGAAGGTTTTTTAAAAAAATTCTTCCTATAGTCTCTTGATGTCAAAATTTCTTATGGGGTTAAACAGTTTCAGAGAGAGAGAGAGAGAGAGAGAGAGAGAGAGAGAGAGAGAGAAACACTATATTGTTAGGGAAATAAGGAGATTGTAACCAAATTGGGGGTTGGTATAAGAGTTTAAGATGTCCCAAGTTGGAAAAAAATAAAGAAAAACAGAGCCCACTGGACTGGCATCTCTAGAGTCTATTTCTTAGGACAGTCAGTACTGCCACAGTGTTAACCTCTTGGGTCACTGCATCTGGAAGCCAGTCAAAATGAGTCAGCATCTGTTTGTTATTTTGTATATGTAGTAAAAATATTGCCTTGGGTCAATTAAATTTTCTTCAAAAAGTGAACCATTGCCTCAGCATAATTTCACCTTTTCTCCTTTAGAAATAATCACAAAGCATCATGCCATTCTATTTAAAATATCACATAGAGCAGTAGATGTCATACCTCATTGTCAAACAGGTCCATGATGGTAATGAATATTGTGGTCAGGGGGAAACCCATGAATAGCTTCTAATAATTCCTGGTCATTTGAACATGGAGTAGGGTGTAGGCTAAGGCTGGTTTTAATTTTACTTCATAGAAAGCAGAGTAGACTATTTACCAGATGTTGTCCTACTTGGAGGTAGTTACTCTTAAGATTTTAGAGTAAATTGCAGCTGAACTTCAAAGCAGCTTGTTAGAGTTCCCTCTCAGACCTTTTCAGTGTGTGAAAATAATAATAAAAAGAAGCAGGTAGGTATTGATCACTAACAACAGCAATCTTTGGAATGATGTTGGCAGTAAAGGTTTTGAAATACATTTCAAACTGATTTACTAGAGAAATCATATCAATTTGTTTATGACATTTCCCAACTTTGACTACTGTTACATTTTCTGTACAATTTTTCCCCTTAAGATACCTATCTGCTTTATATAATGAAGCCCTGGAAAAGATAACTTTGAAGAGCCCTTGTGGTTTGTCATCCTGCTAAATTTAAGCATGACTCTTGAGGAAGTATGTGTAGTGATTGAAAGATAGCAAGGAAGTGAATATTTACTGAGAATCTAGTCAGCATAAGATACAGTGCTAATCTGTGGCATTGGCTATTTTGTATTTCTCTGCCCAAGTAAAGAGAGGAAGTCCTAAGAACACACTCAAAATTAATATACATATCTGTCCCTCTTCTATTCTTGTTAGTGAGTGAATGCTGCCCTAAGTCCTGAGGGTCACTGTGGTTCACAGCAGAAGTAGCTGCCTGCCTACTTCTGCACCCAGCTCTGCTCCGCACACTCAAGCACCCAGCTCCTCTCACCTTTCAGACAGTTGGGGCCATCATAGGGCCTGTAGCAGTCACACTGGAAGCTCTGCAACAGGTTGATGCAATGTCCTCGATTTTGACAAGGTTGACTTTCACACCAGTGCTTTCTCATGCATCCTGCCTTGACATTTAATGACAAGCCAGATGACTTGTTCTCCTGAGTAATGTGATTCAAGTCAAATTTAATATCTTGGAGACAGCCTACAAAGGAAGGTGTGGATGGCATATTGTAGATGGTAGATAGGGAGACACTATTCCTGGTTGTTCCTACAGGTAAGCCACCTAAAAAAGAGTTCTGAAAAGCACACATTGATGGATGGGTTTCAACCAGAGAAGCTTCAGTGGTGCATTTCTCCTCACAGGAGCAGTCAGTCAGAGTAAGGACCACAGCTTCCGCAAATGTTACCTCCACCGAATGCCACTCTCCATCACTGGTGTTGTGGGCGATGGACAGAAGCACCATTGACTGATTCTGGACTTGGATTGCTAGGTGAACACAGCCACTTAGCAATTCTAGCTTTAGAGACATGTCCCTGTTGCCTTGGAAAAAGAGAAGTGCATTGGACTGAACGGTCTGAAACCTGAAGGATATGGTACAGTCTGAGGGTGTGGTTGTAAGTGAGCCACTTATGACCTGTAGGAAGCCATTGCCCTCAAAAGAAAGTGTAGTGACAGTTTCACACAGGGACCCAGTATAGCCAGAAGCACACTGGCAGCTGAATCCGTGATGGCCATTTTGGAAGTGAGGGACACATGTTCCATTATTCAGACACTGGTGATGAGTGCAGCCTCGGAGAGTCTTGGCACAGTCTTTTCCTTCATGAAACATTCTGGAAAGGTCATCAATGGGGCAATGGCAAGTATAGTTCCCAGGCAAGTTCTCACAAGTACTACCATTTTGGCAAGGGTTTGGTGAACATTCATCAATGTCTTCTTCACAATGGATTCCTGTTACACAATAAGCAATAGATTAAAATTATCTATACATAAATATTCAGAACTTTTGTATAAATGTTATATATTATCTACAAGTTTAGAGTAAGGGCAGAATTAGGACTGTAATGGAATAAAATATAGTTCTTGAGGAAAATTAAAATCAATTATATCACTTACCTGTGTTATTAAAAAAACAGCCATGGCAGACTTAGCATTCTTATAGAAATAGATGATTTGTTAAGTATAGATGTTGGCTCAAATTGTCATTGTCAAGCATATACATGGCATTAATATTATAGAAAGAAAACAAAAAGGGGAAATTCTGCTTTTAGCAATGATCTTAGATACAAGTGATTAATTGGTGGCCTCTTTTCTCAGCTACTGTTTTCCTGTTATCACACACTCTTCTGCTTGTATCTTCCCAAGGCCCCTAGAACTGAAGTTTGCCAGATATGTAGACCTAGACCTCTGTCACCATGGAGGGCTTCTAGGGCAGATGGAAGGCTCTATTCCTATCACCCCCAGATTCTAGTCTAAATCAAGACATCTATTCCACAACACAGTCTATTTCTAATTTTGATTTTGTTTTTAAGAAATTCTTGTGTTTTATTTCAAGACAAAGAACAATAGCTAATAAGAGAGTTATGAGAATTCCGTTAATCAAGTGATAAGAATATAACACTTTTTTCCCCTCTCTCCTGCCTGGGTCCTGTCCCAATCCTTGTCTTGGTGCCCCAGACACCAGGAAACCGCCACTACTTCCTGATCCTTTGCATACAGACCAACCCAGTTTCTTCTCGAGGTCCCCAGGAGCCCTCTGGGCCTGGCCCTGCCCTCATCTCCCTCTGCTTCCCTGTGACTGTACAATCCATTGGTCACTCTCCAGGTAAGTCAATAGCACCCAGCGCACCTTGACTCCCCCAGCCTCATTCACTCTCCCATCACCCCTGCCCATGGCTCCTGTCCTATTGCTTGTCTTGGTGCCTCAGACACCCTGGGGACCCACCACTGCTTCCTGATCCTTTGCATCCAGAACAACCCAGTTCCTTCTCCAGGTCCCTTCTCCAGGCCTTCTGGGCCTGGTCCCGCCCTCACCTCCCCTTGCTTCCCTGGGCTCCAAGGCCTGCCAGCCTCTTCCTGGACCCCAGGGCTGACCTCTTGGGCAGGGGCCACCACTGCTTCCTGATCCCATGCATCCAGACGGACCCAGTTTCTTCTTGAGGTCCCTAGGAGTCCTCTGGGCCTGGTCCCGCTGTTACCTCCTCTGCTTCCCTGGCTGCACAACTCACCAGCCTCTTTCCTGGATGCTGGGGCTGACCTTTTGGCTTCCTGATCCTTTGCATCCAGACAAAGCCAGTTCTTCAGTGCAGTCCCCAGGAGCCCTTGGGGCCTCTTCTGGCCCCCATCTCCCTTTGCATCTCTGAGTGTCAAGGCCACCAGTTGCCCAAAACCAGTATCTTTCCTGGTCCCTGCTCCCAGGTCAGTCTAACCCCTAAATTCATGAGGCCAAAATCTTTCCTGAAGGGATCCAGACCTTAGGAGAAACCCTGAG